CATGTAATCGGTGCTTTAGACGGAACTCACGTAAAAATTATCGCACCGAAAGAAAACAAGTACGATTTCTTGGGGAAGAAAGTTTTCTACAGCGTTCTTGTTTTAGGCGTGGCTGATAGTAACTGCAAATTTATCCACGCCAGTGCTGGTGCCCTGGTGCCGTGAGCTTCGCACGGATGCTTCGTGGTAGTGCGTTACAGCGTGACATTGAAAATGGCGTGATCTTGGATGCACCACGTCGATTGATCGATGGTAACGAGGTAAAGCCTCTTCTCGTAAGCAACTCGTGTTTTGACCTTAATTCTTGGCTTATGACCCCCTATACTCAAACTCCACCAATTACTGCCGCTCAGAACAATTTTAATTCAGCCCTGAGCTCAGCAAGGGAAAAAATTGTGCAAGCATTTGGATTGCTCAGGGGTCGCTGGAGGTGTCTGTTAGAAACGATGAAGGAGGACACCTTAAGGGTGCCTACCACTGTTATTGCATGCTGTGTTCTACACAATCTGTGCTTGGAAATGGAAGATGATGCAACCATTGAACCTGTTTTCATTCACAATGATGTGGACTTTGATGTGGAAGACAGCGACGACTTGCCAATAACAAGTGAAGGCGGAAAACAACTTAGGGAGACAATAAGGCAATACTTAGACACATACGGATATGAGCAGATTGTTCAGGTATAAAATACCTTTAAAAGACCTAACATAATATTTCTTTTCATTCATCAGAGTATTTTTGTTTTCTTTTGAAGGTGGAGCAAACCATTTCCATAAACAGACTAACATAAAGGATATGAAATCAATCCTTCGTGAAAGTAGTAAACAACTGTTTTTCACTGACTAAAGGTCTCTTTTGATGAGTACTCGATTTCTTGTTGAGATCCCAGAAATCAGTTTCCCAAAGAAACATGGTTTGTTCTAGCATGATTAACAGGCCTTAACAGGCCTACAAAATTAATAAAAAAGCACAAGTTGATAAACAATTTAAAAAATTACACTGGCTAGATCATCTTTTTTTCAGTCGATGGCAAAGTTGTAAACACAATTTAAACAATGCCCCTCGAAGGAACCCTTGAACTACCCTCCAAATATTTTTTTTTTTTTTTTTGGTATTCCTGATACAAGTTCAAAGCCATACAAGAATTCAATCAAATTGCTAACCACAAGCAGTGAATTCACATGGGATCAGTAAGGGGGTTAGATCATTCTACATTATTACTCACACTAAACCAGATGAAGATGAGCATCTCATTTTTGGTTAACTGAGGCAGTAAAGCTCATGCAATTAGCTCCTTGCTAAGAAATTTCAAAACACAAGGATGAGTGTAATGTAGAGGATTGGCTAAGGAGAGGGATCTGGGGACTCCCCCTGACCTATACCTATAAGAGAATCTCTTAAGTTATCAATGTACAAACTTAATATTTAAATGTTGTGGAAACATACGAATCAGAAGAATCTGTGTGGCATACATCGTTTCCAGTACTAGACTCCATTTTCCTGTTCTTCTTGCCGAGTTAATGGAAGCTCACTATTTCACAAGGTATGGTAGTGGTATAAACCACGTCGTATAAGGTGCCTGGACTTGCATAATCCCACGTTTGAAAAAATTCTAGAAATGACCGCGTCCTTTAGAGGAGATCAGAACAATTCAACTTGTGTTATGTCTCACAGTGAAAAGGAAATTATGACAAGATACCATAGATAATGGAAAATAACATTTTTTTTCTTTTTTTTTTTTTTTAGTCTTTTTTTTATCTTTAATAGGCAATTTAGCTCTCTACAAAACCCTATCTACTCTGTCTTCAAGCAGTCCGTTAGAGATTCAAAGAGTCCTATGCTCAACCCAAAGCAGCAATTGCGTTAAGTGTGCAGCGGGGTGTGACAAATAAGGAGGCTCGGTACCTCTCACGTTGGTGCAAAATACGTTTTGCCATGTTTTTAAACCGGCTTCACCTCACTATACATTCTAGACCATCCTAAAGTGTTTGTTCTTTTATCACATTCATTTAAAAATTACTTCGAACTTGTGAGTATTACAGGTTCCATAAGAAATTCAAGAAACTGTCACCACCACTTTTTCAGACAAACATACGTGTACTAATTAAACAATAGAGCGTTTCTGCCGAGGAACTACCGGCTAATAGTTGCCGGGCGGAAATTTGATGTTCTTAAAACAAATATTTGCCCGAGAAGCTTCGACGGCAAATATGCTAGTTTTAAGAATATTAAATTTCCAAGAGGAAACTATCAGACCGATAGTTCCGAGGCATAAACACTCTACTTTCTTCCGCGCGCCAGTTGAAAAACAGTCAAAACCCACTAAATGCAGATCAATCAAATATTTATTCATGCGAACAGCCTGTCACAAATGTCAATAATTGGCAACCGTACATTGGCTAAATAATACGTTATACCTGTCAGAATTGAAAAGTTACTGTTTTTCTGGTCTACCTAACTTCGCGGCCGTCAAACCATTCAAAATTTTTCACGGATGAGTACTATCCATCCGGGTATTTTCCGCGGACGGGCAGTGTCTCTCCACGCATGAATGCTATCGTGTCACGTAATCAATTTAAACCATTAAGAATCGGAGAAAATTAAGTGGTGAACTATAATATCTCACAGTAGCTTTGTAAGAGTTCAACTTCTTTTACAAACATGACATGAAATTGCTGGTCATTAAAACTGAATTTATTTGCAAATCTGGTGAAAAAGTATAGTAGCAAATTATTGAAGTATCAAACATTTTTAACTGAGCGAAGTACAAAGCTATCATTTTTAAATGACTTTACTCAACCAGAGTTAAACCATTTACCCCGGCTTAAATCTTTTAACCTCAAGTGTAACTAGCAATCAATATCTCCTTACGATATCACAAAAATATAGGAAATGATCACCATTTAAAACGCTCTTGATTGTTAAACAAATTCTCCTTGTCAGTACCTTAGGAAATACAGATACCAGTATGGAGAATATGCAGACCGATGTTAGAGTATTAAAGGGTTGAGCAAAAGAGGACGTGCTTGACTATGACAGTCAGTCAAGTTAAGCGAAAAATATTCTTCCTTGTAGACTGGCGTGATCGCAAAAGCTTAAACAGATTATAGTCTTGGCACGTATTATCTTACAATAGCAGCTGCATACTTGGGAGTTTTGTAAGATTTCAACTTCTTTTTCGAACATTACGCCATGAAATTGCCCATAAAACTGAGTCCACTTGAAGCATTTGAAGGAGCAACAGTTTTGAAGTGAATGAAATACAAAGCCAACATCTTTAAATAAATTCACTCACTTCAACTAGTCAATCCACTTACCCTGAAGCAAACGCGGATGTACTTGACTATAGCAGTCACCTAAAGACTAAATACGTTCTTCCCTGTAAACTGACGTGGTCACAAAAGAAAGTGTTTAAATCTGATTCTCTTGTCTTAGAACATATGATTTTACTAAAGCAGTTTCAGAGTGCACTTTCCTAGTCGAGAATGATTTTTGTCAATATTATATTTTGTCTGCTCTATTGCAGCTCGACCTTTCAAACAGCAATCAGTGATAGCAGCAAAACAAAAACCACTCTCGGCGATACTTTGACAGGAGGCAAGTGCCACAACGTTCACTTCAACAACTATTATTCCGGAGCAGCAAGTAAGGACATCAAGGCACATCTTCTCAAAATCGAGAATCAACTCGCAAAATTAGAGAAAAAAATCGAGGCTTTGACGGAGAACAAAACAACTCCGCCAGGTGAGTTCCTGTGAATTTACAGCATGTTACTCATTTACGACGAAATATAGGATACTAACTACAATTCTTCGATGCCTTTCAATAGTTATGAAAAACTGCGCTGATCTGTATAAATCCGGCCAAAGAGTCAGTGGAGTTTACACAGTCGACCCCGATGGTTCAGGTTCGTTTGATGTGTTTTGCGACCAAAAATCTGCCGGTGGGGGCTGGACAGTGTTCCAGAAGAGACTCGATGGCTCCGTTGATTTCAATAACCGCGGCTGGGCGGACTTCAAACGTGGCTTCGGAAACCTGAATGGTGAGTTTTGGCTCGGACTGGACAAGATACACCGCCTGACGAAAACAAAGAGCAGACTGCGAGTGGAGCTTGAAGACACGCAAGGAAAGACAGCTTACGCCGAATATGACATGTTCTCTGTTTCGAGCGAAAGAAACAAATATAGACTTGGCCTTGGAAACTATACCGTTAAGTGTATACAATCAGTATATTTGTCCATTTTGGCCAGAATAGTTATCACAAACAAGCATATTATAGCGATTCTTCGTTTTAGTACTCCACCTGCTTTTGCTAATCAGATGTGATTTTGTCGCAGGAACTGCTGGTGATTCTCTGAGCTATCATCGTAATATGGCATTCTCCACCAAAGATCGCGACAATGATAATTACTCGGCCAACTGCGCGGCACATTATAATAGCGCCTGGTGGTATAATAATTGTGTGAGTGCCAACTTAAACGGCTACTATTACCACGGTTCGCACAAGTCCGGCTATACTGGTGTCAACTGGTATAAGTGGAAGGGTCATAGCTACTCCGCTAAGAGAGCTGAAATGAAGATCAGGCCCGTGGACTTTTAAGCTAAAAACATTCACAAACAAGGGAATACACTACATCAACTATAGTTTATCAGCTCTTCTACACAGTTGAGTGACATGGGATAAAAATCAATGTAATGACGGTGATAGTTGAATGGGGCAGACACAAAGTTTTGGGTTTAATAAAAAATAGAGAAAAAATACGTTTAGTTTCTATCCGCTAGGGTGTATCACTATTCATTTCACGATCAAAATCTTGAAACTGACAAAATTTATAAGCAACTTCAGCGATATCCTGTGAATGTTGATCGTGATCATGTTGATTTGAGATTGCATTGATTTTGACCGACACGAATTTCTACTTTCTGTGATTTTTCAAGAATACGTCCTGAAAGAGTTCTTGGCAGTTTTTCTTTTGTCTTTATATTTATATCGTCCTTCTGCTTTAAAGTGCCCCTGAAATCAAAATTTTCGTACATAATTTTTTTTCCATTTTCGTGTTCAGTGTGTCTCCTTCGCCTACTCTGCCAAATTTCAGCTTAGACCGAGCACCAGGAATATCTTTTTTCAGGCCGTTAAATTCACGATTTCGCGTCCGCCATTATTTGATCATGTTCCGGAAGTTGATCGCAGGACTCAGAGGAAGTGACGTCAAAGGCTCAACGCGAACATCTCACAGGGCAAAATGTCAAGCAAACATAACAGAGTGCTTTACGCTATTCTTACAAAAACTAAACAAAAGTGACTGGGCATCGATGCGTAATCAAAGCTGAAGTAATCGTGCAGACCATGCTCCAGGTATTTCTCTGCATTGGAGCCTTGCAAATAGATCAGAGCGGGAAAAGCGGATGCGATTTGTGCGACCTCGCCCAGTAAACTTCAATCCTACAGAAATATTTGTGATCTACTCCGAACACTTCTCGGAGGACTGTTTCGAGAGATCTGTGTACTTTGAAGGACCTAGGCGAAGAATTCTGTCGGGTTCGGTGCGATCTCGACGCCGGAAAGCGAAGTCTACGAACCTCCACGGATTCTGTCACCTTTACATATGAGCTGATCAATATCCACCTTTAACAACTCTGGCGTAAAACCTTACACAAAGGAAAGTACTCGGTGAACATTGTAAATAAGAATGATAAAATAGCCGAATTGAGGATTGAGATTTCTAACCTCAAAGAGCTCACTTTTATACAAAAGAGATGAAAAATATAATTGTGTGCTTTGATTCTAAAAAA